GACATCTTTCCATCAACGGAAGTCGACCGCATCGTCCCGGAGTCGTCGAGATGTGATGGAATTGTTCATTCTCGAACAAGGGACACTCCTTCAAAATGGGACTATGGTGGAACCACAGGAGAGGAAGACCCAGAGGCCGCAGCCGCCGCAGAACTTCCAAGATCGCAGTAATCTTGTAAGCTTCTTTCGTGTTTAATAAACGGTTGTGTTGTTTGTAAACGAAGCATCTATCTCTGACTCAACTGCTTCCACATGTCGTTGATTGTTACCGCTCGGCAATCCAAACGGCAAGGGAGACGATGACGATATATATATCACCTATTATCGTTCGTCGAGAGTTTCTTTTTAATTTCTTCCCCCCTCGGTCCCCACAAAAAGATAGGTGTGACATCCAACCTTTAAGTTTGATTAACTTGCATTAAAGCTTTGAAGCAAGATTAAATAGTTGTGACAATTATTGTGTTTGTTTAAAATGTTAATACTGTACAATACCTGAAAAAAAGCAATAATTTGATGTTACTCATTCAATGGAGACAGATTTTGCTCTATAAATCTTAGAACAGGCACAGCATGCCAGCAAATTTAGATTAAATTTTGTGCTTTCAGGACAAAAACTGCTCTCTATAATTTTTTNAATATAATAGAAATTTTATTAGTTAAATTGGTTCAAGCCATTATTGGAGTAATAATACCACTGTATGGTTTCCACATTTATGGTTTTTTGATAGGCATAATAGAGAAGACTTGGTTGATGAGATAGGTTTTGTTTTGTCTGATATGATGGGATAAGGCAAGGCTATTGCCAATCTGCCAAGGTGATGCTTCCTGGAAGGACTTTCTATAGAAGAACTGACCACTACTTAGATATTGGACATTAGACACATGAAGTAAATGAAGAAAACTCTGAACAGTCTACCCATTGGTCAGGCATAAACCCAGAACCAATTACCAGTGTTTGTTGATTTTATGCATTCAATCAGTTGTAATTATTAGTGTTGCAACGAATAGTATATTTGGCCTCAGGTGGAATACCAAATATTCGGTCAGGAGCGTGGCCGAATAGCCGAATATTTGGCCAAACTATTCAGCTCGACTAACGCACGTACAAAAATTGGTGCGAAAACTACATTATGACGATGACCCTGCTCTCTATTGGCCCGCTGTCACTACGCTTTGCCAATCACGTTAATTCTTGACAGTTGTAGCGGAAAGACAAGAGCATCATGGCAGTATGTGATAAATGATAATATCAAATGTGGATAACAATGAAATGACCTACACGTGTAAATAACGAAAAAAGAACAGAGAAGGACTGCGAAGAATAAATAAATATGAAATTGAGCTGATAACATAATCGAACAAGTTGAGGCAACTTATTGGCATGAAATTTGTGACCGTCAATGCCAAACAATTGTTGTCATAGACTTCGGAAAGCTAAATGCTTGTAATGAAAGTCACTTAGCGTGCACGGGCGAAAGCCTGGGGCCGTTCAGGCTACCTAGCTGTCTCGAATCTGTGAAATCATAACTGTGACTTATACCGAAGTCCTATCTGTCTCTTTTCTCCATAATCACTAGGCTATGAGTCATGTAATAGTAAAATGGGAAAACTACAACGGAGAAGTGATGAATCGAAAGTATCATGAGTGCGTATTATGATGTATGCATAGGCATACGTGGACTAGAGCGATAGAGGAAAGAGAAAGGAAAGAGCAAAGACGAGTGCTTAAAAAGAAGAATAGGCAGGGTCAGACCCTCAGATGTGCGACGATTCTCGAATGAATAGGTGTATACGTGTGTACGTGTGCTGATCTTTGTAATTATAAATTGTGAATACATGTGACTAATATTATTTTCTTTTTTATTTTGTGCATGTTATAAGTTATAAATAAATATAAACAAACAACACTAACCTGATAACATTAAATCTAAATACCAAAATGATTAATTTACTGTTTTTGTTATTTCTTACTCCTGTTTTTAGGTATTCAGCCGAATACTGAAAAATAGGCCGAATACCGAATAGTAGCCGAATATTTGTTACATCACTGGTAATTATCCACTCTTGGTTAAAATCTTAAGTAGTGATTTTAACTAAAAGAAATAAGGAGCCTATCTATCCTTATGTTGAAAGACAGGCTCTTCATCCCTCTTAGTCAAGAACTGCATTATTTTTAAATTTTAAGTTCAGTTCTGTTTAAAATGAACTCTCTATTCTATTTTTGTTAAAGACCATTAGAAATGGTATCAGGAATGCCAAAAAGTTTGGATTTTCTGTTTTTATCTTAATTTTATTGATTTCTATATCATACTATGATTTAAAGTTTAAAATGCAAGTAATAAGAGGTTGAAAAATTTTTATGTCATCATTAAAAAAAAAAAAATTTGATTATATATTAAAAATCATTTTGGTTTTGAAAATTATCACAAGCTCTATTTGGTAATTTACATAATTTTATCTGTTTTATGTCAGAAATGTCACCTCATAAATAATATTGTAATCATAAATACAAAGCTTCTTTCTCAACTTGAAGCTTGGTGGGCAGCAAGTTTATCAACTGTTAGTCTTCTTTTTACAATAAGACTCTTAATACTTAATAGTTAATAGGGGCTTCTTTGCTTGATAGTGTCCGTGAACTTAGTTCTTGTCTTCCTTTTTCTAGTATTTCCCTCCGTACATCCTTCCAATAGTGTTATAACACTAGTAGAAGGATATATGGAGATTCACTCAGAAAGATTAAAC